AAGAGCAACGAGGCTGGTGAAGGGACTTGAGCACAAGTCCTGTGAGGAGAGGCTGAGGGAGCTGGGGTTGTTTAGTCTGGAGAAGAGAAGGCTTAGAGGTGACCTCATCACTCTCTTCAACTACCTGAAGGGAGGTTATAGCCAGGTGGGGGTTGGGCTCTTCTCCCAGGACACCAACAACAGGACAAGGGGACATGGGCTCAAGCTCTGCCAGGGGAGGTTTAGGTTAGATGTTAGGAAGAAATTCTTTACAGAGAGGGTAATCAAGCATTGGAACAGCCTACCCAGAGAGGTGGTGGATTCACCATCCCTGGAGGTTTTTAAGCAGAGATTGGATGTGGCCCTTAGTGCCATGCTATAGAAATTGGAGTTGGATCAGGGGTTGGACTTGATGATCTTGGAGGTCTTTTCCAACCCAATCTATTCTATGATTCTATGATTCTATGATTTGTCATCCCCACTGCCCACACCTGGGGCTGTCTCGCACGGGAGAGGACAGAGGGGTGCATGAAACCGGGGAAAGGTGCCGGCGCCATCCGGGGGACGCTGCAGGAGCGAGCAGGAGGGAGGGGCTGTTCTCAGGCGGGGCACGGGACCTGCGCTGGCTCGTGGTGCTTCGCTCCAGACTCTGGGATTCTTTTGGGCTGGGGTTGGGTAGGGGTTTTGGGGGACTGCGCACACCCTCCCCTGAGTCACAGCCCCGCCCCAGCTCGCTGCACCCTGCTGCACTCCCCGCAGCCCTTGCTCAGCTGCGTGGGGATTAGTGCCTCCTCTGAAGGTGGCAAATGTCTGTAAAGCGAATCGGGAAGCCACTGTCAGTCTTTCTTTTCCAGCCTTTTCTGCCCAGCACCGCAGTGGTCGGGTCCCGTGGCTGCGACCCCACGGTGCAAGGCACCCCCAGGGCAGCCCCGTCTGGCACTGCTGCTGGCCCTGCTCAGACACTGCCCCTCACCTCACCCACAGGTTTAACATTAAGCCAAGATTTAATATAAAGCACCACAAGATGCTGTCTGACCAACCTGATCTCCTTTTATGATCAGCTGACCTGCCTGGTGGACGAGGGCAAGGCTGTAGATGTGGTCTATCTGGACATCAGCAAAGCCTTTCACGCTGTCTCCCATAATATACTCCTGGGAAAGCTGGCAGCCCACGGCTCGGACAGGTGCACTCTCTACTGGGTTAAGAGCTGGCTGGAGGGCTGGGCCCAGAGAGTGCTGGTGGACGGGGCTGTATCCAGCTGGCGGCCGGTCACCAGTGGTGTCCCCCAGGGATCAGTGCTGGGACCAGTCCTGTTTAACATCTTTATAGATGATTTAGATGAGGGGATTGAGTCCATCATTAGCAAATTTGCAGACAGCACTAAATTAGGAGGGAATGTCAATCTGCTGGAAGGCAGGAGGGCTCTGCAGAGGGACCTGGATAGGCTGGAGAATTTGATTCCAACGGGATGAAGTTCAACCAGGCCAAGTGCTGGGTCTGCACTTCGGCCACAACAACCCCTGCAGCGCTACAGGCTGGGGACAGAGTGGCTGGAGAGCAGCCAGGCAGAAAGTGACCTGGGAGTGCTGATTGACAGGAGGCTGAACATGAGCCAGAGTGTGCCCAGGTGGCCAAGAAGGTCAATGGCATCCTGGCCTGCATCAAGGACTGTGTGTCCAGCAGGATGTGGGAAGTGATTCTTCCCCTGTACTCAGCACTGGTGAGGCCACACCTTGAGTATTGTGTTTAGCTCTGGCCCCTCATTTCAGGAGAGACATTGAGGTGCTGGAGCAGGTCCAGAGAAGAGCAACGAGGCTGGTGAAGGGACTTGAGCACAAGTCCTTATGAGGAGAGGCTGAGGGAGCTGGGATTGTCTAGTCTGGAAAAGAGGAGGCTCGGGGGTGACCTCACCCCAATTCTGTCCCACCCACCCCAGCTGGGCAGCTGAGGCCAAGGCTCCCCTTCCTCCTGGCAATCACTGTCGCAGCACACCAAGGCCCGTGCTGGGCAGCACTTGGGAAAACTTGGGAAAGGCAACAGGAAAAGGGCACTGCCTGTCAGAAAACAAGTGCCCATGAACACACCATTTGGACAAATGGAATAACATCATTCTCCTCCAAGAAACACAGGCCAGGCAGGGCTCTCCAGCCCAGGGGAGAACAGGCAGGAGAACTGCAGGGAACATAGGGAGACACAGGCAGGCATTGCCACTTATTCCCTGCAGCCCTCTCTGCACTTGGGGCTCCTGGCTCTTGCTTTCGAAAGAATGGAGGGGGAGGGGGGGGGGAGCAGAGCAGGAATGCCCCTCAAAAACAGGGGCCTTGACACCTGGAGCATCAGAGGAGGGGAGGTGGGAGGGGAGACATGGAAAGAGAACAGGAAAGGGGTTTGTTCAGGAACAGGCTGTATGTCCAGCAGTGATGGCAACTGTAAACACGGGATGCTGCAGGAATGCAGGGGGGGAGCACGGGCCTGGCTTGGATGGAGCCTTTTGCCTTTTGCTCAGGGGCCTCAGCTCCACCCTCTCTGAGAGCAGCAGAGAACTGCTGCAAGGCAAGAGTTCATTTAGGCACAAGTCAGTGATGCAGCCGCTGTGCAAGGGGAAGAGGGGAGAGGAACGGAGAGGAACTGACACCAAAATCACACAATCACCACTTGATTGGGACATTAATGAGCTGCAACACAAATACATTCACAGGAGGCCAGGGCAAGAGGTGCACGCAGGACCACCAACACAGCAGCTGGGCTTGCAGGAACACCCTCTGCTCAAGGTATGGAGCCAGGACCTGAGAGTTGGGATCCATCCTGGGGGACTGAAGAGCACTCAGGCATCAGGGCTGAGTCCTACCTGGTCACTGCAAGCAGTTCAGCCCCAGCAGCTGTGTGAGTTTCTGCCTATCCCTCCAAGAGTATTTGGGACCCAACAGCTCATTAAAGTAGAATTTTATCTTCATGAATATTTTACAAAGTTGAGCTTCAGGAGAACTGAGGCACTTTTCATTATTCCGTACTCTTCCAGTGCTGCACTTGTCAGGATCCTTTGGGCACGAGGAACCTTCCGGACTGCTCCAAACCTTCACAGTCCACTTGTTCTTCTTGCCGCAGTTGGACCAGCTCAGTGTCCCTGCAGAAAGAGAAAATTCAGTGATTCTCTCTGAAACCAGAACCTCCCCTGCTTTGCTTCCCCATCCCATGTTTTGTTCCCTACACAACTGAGGCCCTTCCAGGCCTTGCCAAGTGGCAGCCAAGGAATCCAACCCAAGAACCTGCCAGGGAGCAGCGTCTGTGCCACAGCAACAGCATTCCAGGCCTGTCACTGCCAACTCTCCGCTTCTCCCAATGGCTCCAGTGGCACCACAACTTGTCCTGAAGGCAGAAAGGCTCCTTTTAGGAGCACCACGAGCTACCTATACTGTAGCACTGGAATTCCATCTCCTGGACAAGCTGGGAGAAGAAGGGAAGAAACCAGGACCTTAAAAGCAAATTAGGAGCACCTGTTCATCCAGCAGCAGCTCCAATAAAGGTACTGAGTCAACACTTCAAAGACACAGGACAGCAAGGGCCAACACCCTGACAATCACTTCTATCTTCAGTTTATAAATCCAAATTAAAGCAAAGCCTTTCAGACCCTTTGGAAGACTCAATCCCATTGTAACCAGTTTGTGGGACTCATTCCCAGCCTCCTGAGGTTCACTTCCCACCTCACTTGTGGCTGCACTAGACCTGGTTATACACACACACACACACACACACAGAAGGAGCTGCTGCAACTTGTCCAGTTTCCTGCTTCTCCTTGAAACTCCTCCAGCTGTTTGTCCAGCTCTCTGGTGTCCGTTCCTTTGCCTGCTGGACTCATTCAGGCCCCAGGGCTGCCGCGGCCACCCTGAGCTCTCACCTGCCCTCACGCCAAGTGACCTTTCCTGGCCCCGAGTCCATCTAGCACTGACCGAGCTGCTGGGGGCTGCGGTTCTCCCTGATCCTTCCCTCCCTCTGCCTGGAGAATGCCCCTTCCAGCTCCTGCACCCCCACCTCTTACCTCCCAAAAAAGCAGAGCTGCGTTCCCCCGGATCCTCGGGCTGGACGCTGCTGGCTCTGCGTGGCCCCCACCCTTCAGCGGGAATGATGAAGGGAGCCGGGATGCCGTGACCCCCGAATTTGCCCGGTCTCCAGCTGCCGCACAGACCTGTTGTTTTGTTGACAAGCAGGGCGCTCGAGGAAACTGTATTGGGTCTGACTGAGCTGAAGTTCCTTTCCCCACAGTAGCCCTCCTGGTGTGGCGCTTTGCATTGGCAGCTAGAAGGGTGTTGATCACGCTGGTGTTTTGGCTACTGCTGAGCACAGCATCAGCGCTGCAACATTCCTTCCGGAGCTGAGGGCAAGATCCTGGGAGGGGACCCAAGTAGGCCAGCTGACCCAAACTGACCAAAGGAGTATTCCAGACCGTATGATGTCAGCTCAGATGTAAAAGCTGAGGCAAGGAGCAGGAAGGTGGGCGTTCATTGTGGGCATCCGATGGCTGCCAGCTGAGGAACCATGACGTGTACCGAAGCCCTGCTTCTTGGGAGTGGCCGACCGTCACTGCTCAAGGGAAGCAGAGAATAAACCCTGGTATCTTTCGCTTCTGTGCGCACACTCTTTGCTTTACTTTTTTGCTTTAAATAAACTGCCTTATCCCAACCCACGCGTTGGGGTTTTTTTACACCTTACTCTCTCCCCTGTCCCGCTGGGAAGGGGAGCAATAGAGTGGATGGGTGGGCACCTGGCATCCAGCCGAGGTCATCCCGGCACGGGGTCCCAGCGGGGAGGAGGGGTCATAACAACGGCGGTCTCGAAAAGGGCACTGGGGGTTCCCAGAGGGTGTCAGGGGATTGCCCGCTCGGGGTCGTTCCCCCTGCCGCGGGGCTCAGGCTGCTCTGAGGGCCGTAGGCCGTGCGGTTGCCATGGCGACCACCATCACCCAAGATGGCGACGCGGTCCCCGGCCTCGCTTCTCCTTTATACGAATGCGCAGAAATCTCGTCGCATCCGCCCGGCGTTTGCGGCTCCCGGAGGTGGTGGCGGGGGCGGAGTTTCCGGTTCCGGGTGAGGGCGGGGGGGGCGGCGGGAGTGCAGAGGGGCCGCGGAAGGTACGAACCGACTCCCCCCAAAAAACCCCCCGGAGAGATCCCTGCACCCCCCCGGGACACCGGCGGGGCCGCCTCGCACTCCCCCGCCCGGGGAGGGGGGAGGGGAGGTACAATGGCGGGGCGCCCGAGACCACCCCGGTGGGACCCTGACACACCCCCGATGTGACCCCCCCGATGATTCACCGTCCCGGTGCGACCCCTGTACCTAGGACACCTCCGGCCCGACCCCCCAAACCCCGGGCCCTCTCCCTACTCTGGACCCCCGCCGGGACCCCCGGAGACCCGACCCTCCCGTACCGATCTCACCTCCCCTCCCTAGGGCCCCTCCAAACTCCTCTCAGGGTCACCCACCTCCCAGGACCCTCCTTTCTCCCCTCACCTTGTCACCCTACCCTGAACCTTCTCCCGTGTTCCCCACGCACACGTTTGGGCCCCCCCAAACCCTGCCAGACCCCTCAGTTTAGGGTTAATGACCCCTGCCACCCCGTATCACCCTCCCCTCCGGTCCTCCCCAGATCCAACACCCCGAAGCCACCCCGCACCCCCTCCAAATTACTCCCCGACCCCCCCCCCAACCCCCCACTTTTGGGTGGGTGACGCCCCCTCTTTTAGGGCCCCTCCTTAACCCTCTTTTTCCCCCAGGACCCCCCGACAGCTTCATCCCTGCGGATCCAACGCCTCCCGCTTTGGGGGGTCCCGGCTTTGGGGGGGGGGCCTGGCCGAGTGTCCCCCCCCTTTCCCGAGCCTGTGGCCCCCCAGGAAGAGGAGGAAGAGGAGGAGGAGGAAGAGGAGGAGGAGGAGGAAGGAATGGCGGCGCCGTGGCGGGTACTGGAGCCCGCCCAAAAATCCATAAAAATTTACTGATCCCACCTTTTCTGCCCCCAAAAGGAGCTTTGCCTGGGCGACAGTCAGGCCAAAGGCTCCCACATCATGGCTCAGGTAATGAGCCCCCAACCCCGTCCCCAAAGGCCCCCAAATCCCAAGGCCCAGCAGCTTTCTGGGGGAAAAGGAGCCCTGAAATATGGGAAAAAGGGGGAAAATGGGGCCATGGCTCGAGGTCCCCCTTTCCACTTTCCCCTGGGATTATTCCAAATTTTCTTCAGTCTTATTCCAAAGTTTCCTGTTTTTTCTGGAATTATGCCCAAATTTCCCATTAATCCTTTGGTCCTGTGAGGCCCCAAATAAGGGGGTTCAGCCCCCCCATCCCCACTTTTGGGGTCTTCTCGCTTTTCCCTGGGATCATGCTGAATTTTCCCTAAAATTATCCAAATTTTTGTGGGATTACCCCCAAATTTCCCATTAATCCTTTGGTTTTGCCAGGTCCCAAAAAAGGGAGTTCACCTTACCCCCCCCTCCCCGACTGAGAATCACCCTGGGATTACTCCATATTTCCTTGGGATTTTCCCACATTCCCTTCCAGGGTCTTCTTGGGTTTTTTGGGTCTCTGTTGATGATGGGGGTCCCTGTGCCACCAGGCGAGTCTTGTAGGGTTGGGGGGATGGGGGGGCTTTTGGGGGGTGGGTCCCAGGCAAGTCTCCTAGGGGGTTTTGGGGTCTGTGCTGCTAGGAGGGAGTTTGGGGGAGGGGGGAGGTCTGTGTTGGTGTTGGGGGTCTCTGTCCCCCTCCCAGTGAGTCTCTTGGGGGTTTGGGAGAGTTTTAGGATCTCTGTTGATGGTGGTAGTCCCTGTGCCCCCCCAGGTGAGTCTCCTGGCCTATGAGGGGCTCTCGGGGGTCTCTGTTGATGGGGGGGATATCGGGAGGTTTTGGGTGAGTTTAGGGGGGTTAGGGGGTTTTTGGGGTCTCTGTTGATGGTGGGGGTCTCTGTGCCCCCCAGGCAAGTCTCCTGGCCTGTGAGGGGCTCTCGGGGGTCTGCCTGGTCCCCACAGTCGCCAGTAAGAAGATGATGCCCAAGGCTGGAAAACAGGATGGGAATCGGGAAAGAGGCTCCAGCCCTGACCTGCTGGTATGGGATACAGGGGAACCCCCTGGACTGCAGGGGTCCAGCTCTAATGGGGGGGTTACACCTTCAGTTGGGGGGGTTCTGGCTTTAATTTGAGGTTTTTCCTGCTTTAATTTGCTTACTCTTGACTTAATTTGTCATTTTACACCTTTGATTTGTGTTTTTCTGCCTTTAATTTGGCTCTTTCGACCTTTAATTTGGGGTTTTCCTGTTTTACAACTTGAAGTGGAAGTTTCCACATTTAATCTGGGACTTTCTGCCTTTAATTTCAGACTTTTCACCTCTAATTTGGGTTTTTCCACCTTTAATTTGGAGGTTTGCTGATTTAATTTGGCTTTGCCCTAGTCTTATTTGGTTTTTTTTCTTCTTTAATTGGGCTTTTTCCTTCTTTAATCTAATTTCATTTCCCTTCAGTTGGACTTTTCCTCTTTTGTTAGGGTTTTTTCTCCTTTAATTGGAATTTTCTATCATCTCAGATTTGCCTTTTCCTGCCCTAATTTTGTTATTTACATTCGATTCCCTCCCCCCCAATACCGTTATCTCCCTTCCCCTGCTCCTTTTAACCCCCGAATTCCCTTTCCGATCTTATCCCCCGATTCCCAACCCTCCAATCCCGATTCCTGTCTCCCTTCAACCCTCAATTCCTGCCCTCCCTTACCTCACATCCTCCTCCCCGATTCCTGCCCCCCCAATCCCTCCTCCCTGATTTTTCCCGCAATTCCTGCCCCCCTTTAATCCCCCTCCCCAATTCTCAACCCTTCAATGACGCCCCAAATCCCTCCCCATTCCCTGCCCCCTTTTACCCCCCAAATCCCCCCCTCTCCATCCCACCCCCAAATCCCCCCAGTCCCTCCGCCAAGACCCCGACAAGCCCCGCGCCCGCAAGGATGACGACGCCCCCGAGGCCTCCAACCCCAAGAAATCCATGAAAAAGGCAGGTTCTCCTCCCCAACTGGGAGGTCTCCGTGGCGTGGGGGGGGGGGGGGTCTCTGTGCCCCCCATGCCCGCTAACCCCCCCTGGCCCCCCCGGCAGCGCCGCAAGCGGGTTCCTGGCGCCGAGGGACCCCCGAGCTCGTCCCGCCGCTCCCAGTCCCAGGTTTGCCGCAGCCCCCCAGGAGCAGGAGGAGGAGGAAGAGAATCTCCCAAACTCCGGCAGGCGCAGGACGGCCGGGGGGGGGATTTGGGTGGGGCTGCTGGGGGCCCCCCGGCCCTGAGCTCCCCCAATCTCTACCCCCCCCATGGTTTGTAGATGGTGGTGATCGAGCAAAACGGGTCCTTCCAGCTCAAGAACTTCATCTGTGACCACTGTTTTGGGGCCTTCCGGAGCAGTTACCACCTCAAACGGCACATCCTCATCCACACTGGTGGGGGCACCAATTAATGTTCCCTAATTAACCCCTCCGAGCCTTAATTAGCTCTCTCCTCCCCCCCTATCCTAATTCCCCCCCAGTTAGGTTGGGTGTTAATTAACCCCCTAGACCCCTCCCAGTTTAGGGAAGAAGCCCTTTGAGTGTGACCTGTGCTCCCTCCCTCCCCGATCCCAACCCCCCCTTAATCCCCCAACTCCCCCTCCTCCCCCATTCCCACCCCCCCTAACTATCCCCGGGGATGTTAATTACCCCCCCAAATCCCGCCCACTTTAGGGGAGAAGCCCTTTGAGTGCGACGTGTGTGACATGCGCTTCATCCAGAAGTACCACCTGGAGCGGCACAAGCGGGTGCACAGCGGGGAGAAGCCCTACCAGTGCGAGCGCTGTATGCAGGTAATTCCGTGGGAAATCCCACCTGGAATTCCCTGGGAAGCCCCCAGAACCATCCCCACCCCGAATTCCAACCCTAATCGCCTCCATTCCGCAGAGTTTCTCCCGCACGGACCGGCTCCTGCGGCACAAGCGGATGTGCCAGGGCTGCCAGGGCAAGACTCCCCCTGACTCCCAGCTCCTGCTGTGAAATTCTGGAAATTCTGGGGGTGCTGGAGGAAGGGGGAGCCTCCCTCCTGCACCCCCTACCCTCTGCATCTGCTTCACCTGGATTTTTCACCCCAAGCTGAGAACTCCTAAAAAACCCTGGAGTGTTCCCAGTGTGAAAAACTCAAGAGCCTTCCCATTCTTCTGGCCTAAAAACTGGGATAATGAGCCCAAAAATTCTCCTGGAATCTTCAAGCTGTGCCCTCCTCATCGTTGGATCCCTAAATCCACCCCACATTCCCCCCCCAGAACAGACTGGGAGCCCCCAAACTGCCCAAATCCCATCGGGTTTGGGGTACCTGGGACACAGGTAGGAGGGTCCTGCTAGGAATGACATCTCCAATCCTGCTTTTTTGGGGGAAAAAGAGGGAAAAATGAGGATTTTGGGAGGGTGTCTTGGCTTCAGAGGAAGGCAAATTCCCCCTTTTTATGGAAAATGGGAACAGAATGAGGAATTTGGGGGTGTCGCCATTGTGGGACTCGGCAGCGCTTCCCATTCCCTCTGGAATTCCTGTGGATTTTGGGGAGGTTTCCCGTTTCCACGTGGTTTTGGGGAGGCTCCCTGTGTCCCCCCCCCCCTGCCTGTGAGGGGCTGCACCCGGAAGGGGGAGCAAAGGCACCCCCATTTTCCAGAAAACCCCATTCTCAGAGGGAGGAAAATCCTGGAAAACCCCGTTCTCTGGGGTGGAAAAACTGTGGATCTGCTCAGGGGTGGTGGTTGTAGGATCCAGGACTCCCCAAAAACTCTGGGGGTCTCCCTAATGTTCCCCCCAATTTTCGGGTCTCATGCCACCCCCAGTCACAGAATGCTCTGAGGGGAAACAAAGTTCATGAATTTTGGGCCCCCCGTTTTTTGGTGCCCTGACCTCCCTTTCTGGACCTGAAGGACTTTGGGGACACCACTTCCTCCCCCCGGTGATACTTCAAAAAAGGCTTTGGCTCTGCTGAGCCCCCCCAGCCCCCAAATTTGGGGGGTGGGGGGGGGGTGGTTTGAGGGCTCCAGTGGGTGGTTTGAGGGGAGGTTGGGGGGATGCTGGGGGGGTTTTGGGGCCCCCCCTAAGCCTGGGGAGGTGGCCACACACACACACCACCCCCCTGCCCTCCCCAGCTACATTTTTGGGGTATTTTGTTGGGTTTTGCGGGTTTATTACAGTTATTTTGCTATGGGGGGAGGGGGGAGGGGGTCACCCCCAGGGTGGGTGGGTGGGGTCACTTTTAAACGGTAGTTTTTTCTAAGGGTCCTCAATTTCTCGTGTCCCACCCCCCCCATGTCCCCAGAATGTCATCCTTTTTCCCACACACACACCCTCCGTGTGCCCCCCCCCTTCCTTTAGGGTTTATTTAAATAAAACTTTGGGGTTTTGCTTTTTTAACCCAAATTTGATTTCTTCAGGGGCAGGGGGGGCAGTATTTGGGGGGACCCCCAGAACCTATTTGTGCTTCCTTCCCCGGACCCCAAAAATGGCAGGGGAGGATCATTAAACTGGGGAGTGGGGGGTCCTCAAATGCCCCCCCCAAATCCCCCAGGGGTGCCCCTCCCCTTATCCCTGGAGAGGGGTCCCCAAGTGCCCCCTGTTTATCTCTGGGGGAGTCCCCAAGTTTGGAGGGGTTCCCAATGCTGTCACGCCCTGTTATCCCTGAGGGAGTGTCCCAATGCGGGGAGCTCCTAAGTGCCCCTCTGCCAAATAATCAAGGAGAGCCACCACCCCCACCCCACTGGTGCCCCATATCACCTCGTGGGGGTTCCCGAGCCTCCCTTCCCCTTCTTAGACCCCCTTGCCTCCCCAAAATGTACAACCCCCCCAAAAAAAAAAATTTCCATCACTTTATTTTGCAAAAATAGAAAAGTCCCGAGACCTCCCCTCAGCGCAGAGGGGGTGGGGGAGGGCTGTAAACATGGCTGAGGGGCCCCCCAAAAATGGGGGGTGGCTAGCAGTGGGAGGGGGGCAGCAGTGGGGGCCCAATGTAAACGCAGAGGAATAAATAAAGGGGGGGGGTGAAAGTGCTGCCCCAGGGGGAAGAGTCACCACCCCCCCATAGTGTAACAGACCCCACCCAAGGGGGGGGGCAAATTCAGAAGGGGGGCAGCAAACCCTGGCCCCCCCACCCAGCCAGGCTTAGGGGGGGGGGGTAACAGATATTTGGGGGTGGCCACCCCCCCCAACGCTGCCCTAGGTGGGGGACTGGGGTCACCCTATGGCTTGAGAACCCCCCAAAATGGGGGAAGTTGGGGGAGTCATCTTGTGTCCCCCCCATCTTTGGTCTCTGTAGTGTATAGGGAAGAGGGTGGGGGGAGGAATTTTGGGGTCCCCTCACCCCCAACAACATATAAATGGGGACCCACCAAACCGGGGGGGGACTGTCCTGGGCGACATAATGGGGGTGCTGCCCCCCCCCGCCAAAATCCACCCTGTGTCCAGTAAATAAACCCCCAGGAGAGTATTTATGGGGCACCCCAGGAGTGTTCATTTGGGGGGAAGGAGGGCTGCCTGTCCTAAAATTCCTCTCAATACAAGATGGGGGGCAGCGGGGGCTGGGGGGCTTTGGTTGAAGCTGAGTTTGGGGAGGGTCCCTGGACCCCCCAGCTTAAGGCAATAGCTTTGCTCTGTCAGTCTCTGACCCCCCCACACCCTAATTCGGGGGGCGGGGGGGTGGGCACTTTGGGTGTCTCTCCCCCCTCCAGAGCAAAAGGGGGGGACCGTGGAAGGCAGCTGTGAGTGCCCCCACCGTGGGGGCTCGGGGGAGCTGGGGCGGTTACAAGGATTTGCGGAGGCCAGGGGGGCTGTCCTGGGCCGTGGGAGGGTCTGGGGGCAGAGGGGGCCCCCCCTGACCCCCCTCGGTGAAGATCTCAGGGTTCTCCAGCATCTCCCGGATCAGGGGGGGCATCGGCCCCGGGATCTCCGTGCGCAGTGTCAGGGCCCGTTCTGCCCCTGGTAGGGGGCAAAGTGTGAGTGCCCCCCTCCTCCAATAATTAACATCTCCCCCAGCGGCTTAACATTTCTCCCCTGAGAGCTTAGACCCACCCCATCCTGAGAGCTTGGAGCCCCCAAAACAAGCTCAAAAGTCCACCAAGAGCTTGAACCCCCCTAAAACTCTGAACCCTCCCCCTGAGAGTTCCAACTCCCCGCAAAAAGACCTTGAATCCCCCCAAACTACCTTCAACTCCCCCAAATTTAAGCCCCTTCAAGAGCTTGAACCCCCCAAATTTCGCCCCCCCCCCGAGCTTTAGTACCCCCAAAGACTTTGAATCCCCCTCAAATAAGCTTTAACCCCCCCCAAGACCTTCAACCTCCCCCAAAACTTTGAACACCGCCTGAGAGTTTCAACTCCCCCTCCTGCAAAACCTTGAACCCCCCAAAACCTTGGACAGCCCCCCTCCAAAACCTTGGACCCCCCCTCAAAACGAGGCTTGGGGAGGTCCCAGAGAGCAATTTTGGGGTGTTGAGAGGAGGTGTTTGGGGGATTTTGGAGTCAGAGGGGCTCAGAGGGGTCCCAGGGGGCCTTTGGGGGCTATTCCTGTCTGAGGGCAGTCCCAGGGGTCTCACCCTTGGTGCTGATGCCATGCAGGTTGGTGATTTTGAGCATTTGGGAGAAGTACTGGGGTTGGGGTGGGTTTTCAGGGTGTCCCAGGGGTGTTGGGCTGTCAGGAGGGGCTGTACCTTTTTGGGGGGGTGTATTGGTTTGGGGGTCCCGAGGGTCTCACCCTTGGTGCTGATGCCACGCAGGTCAGTGATTTTGAGCAGCATTCGGGGAAATCGCTGCGGTTGCCGTGGCCGTCGCCGCCGTGCGTAAACCCGGAGAGCCTCAAGCAGTGGCTCCTGCAGCCGCTCCACGCGCCGGGGCTGCTCCAGCTCCATCCGGTCTGGGGGGACAGAGACCCCCGGGATGGGATCACCGGGACAGTGTCCCTGTGTCCCCATATTCCCATGTCCCCTCTGTCCTCCCATCCCTGTCCCTCTCCTGCCCTGCAGATCCCAGTGTCCCCACATGCCCACCACTGTCTCCTGTCCTAGGAGACACGTCCCGCAGCCTGGTTCCCAAGCCCCCCATGTGCCCCAATACCCACGTCCCTGATGACTCCCCCAATGTCCCCGTGTCCCCAGTGTCCTCCCACCTCCCCACATGACGCCAATGGCCCTGAGCAGCCCTGTCTCGGTCCCGTGTCTCTTATACCCCCTATACCCCTCCTATCCCCAAACCCCTGATACTCCCCAAACCTCCTGGTGTCTCCCTCATGTCCCCCCTCATGTCGTCACCTCCACAGATGAGGCCGATGGCTGTGAGCAGCCCCAACTCAGTGTCACTGAGCTGCCCTGGTGTGACCCCCATATTCCTGATATCCCATGTGCCCCTGGTGTCCCTCACGTCCCCCCACCTCCACAGATGAGGCAGATGGCACTAAGCAGCCCTGTCTCAGTGTCATCGAGCTGTAGGGGCAGGAGTTGCCCCGCGAAGGCAAACACGAGGTCGGTGAGGGGCCCAAACCCTGCGTTGTGCATCTGGGTCCTGGTCAGGGTAAGGCCGTCCGAGAACGTCATCGTGTCCTGCTCAGGGGTGTATCGGGTACAAATCCGCAGCATCTGGGGGTAAGGGTACCCCAAAATCACCCAGGGACCCCAAAACACCCCCCCCCAGAGTCAGCCCATCCCATAACGTCCTCATCTCTTGCTCAGGCTGTAACAGGGGCAGATCTGCAGCATCTGGGGGTCGTGGGGGTCAGGGAATCCCAAAATAACGCAGGGGTCACCAAAATCCCCCCACCCAGGGACCCCATATATCCACCCAGGGACATCAAAGCCCCTCAAGAGACCCTGAAATTTCCATAGGGGATCCCCAAACCCACCCAGCCCCTCTCCAGGACATCCATGTGTGGGTGGTGAGGTCAGAGCCACCATGGGACCTCCCAAATCCCCTGAGGAACCCCCAAACCTCCTCCAGGAACCCCAAACACCCTCCAGGATCCCACATCCCTTGATGCCCACCAGGATGTCAAGGCAGGCAGCCTTGAGCAGGGTGATCTGGTCGGCCATGCTGAGCCCTGTGAACCCGGGGATCCGCTTCGCAAACTCCACGATCTTGATGATGCACTTCGTGGCCAGTTCGCTGAACTTGTCCCACAGCCCCAGGTCCAGCTGCACACGGTGGTCTGCACTCGAGTTCTGGGGGGCACAGACCCGGTCAGGGTGGGTCAGGGTGGACTGGAACCTCCTCAGACCGCTAGAAACCCCTAGGATCACTGGGACCCCCAAAAGCCTCCTGGGGACCCCTCCCCAGCACCTCTCTGCCTCTGACTCCAGCTGCCCCAGTGCTCAGATGTTCTGGGGGGCCAGGGGGTCCAGGAACCCCTCTAAGGGTCTGAGGATTGGGGTGCCCCCCTCAGAGACCCCCAAAACTCCCTACGACCGTCTCAGAACTCCTGGGACCCCTCCCCAACACC